TGCGGCTTGGACGAGCCCGTTGAAGTCTGTCTTCCAGTAGTTGAATGTCGGTTTCCGTTGATTGTAATATGGTAACGGCAGTTCTAAGCTTGCCACAATGGAGCATTGGTCGCTGTTCGCCAGAGGTTCGATGACTCTGATCTCGTTCAGCTTCTGCTCGCAGCTCGTAAACATTAGGTCCAAACAAGACGCCGAGTGCGGAGTTACGCGCGTCGGTTGGAGGACATGTTGCGTTGCCCCGATTTCAATAGTGATCTTAGCGAATTGAGCCTCAACGTTGTCATGACCGGGAAGAAGTCGAACGTCTGGCCAAAATATCTTAGGTAGAACTTAGATCCCCCATCAGTAAGAACTGAGGGCGGCTCATGTGCTTCTGTACATGGTAGCCAATCGCAACAACGGTTTAATGGGCTCCGGTAGATAACCCCCACTATTAGTTCTGCGCGCCTCAGGCGGATTGTGCACCACAGTTGTTCACATAAATTATCCTCGCTCCGATAGGTGTTGGTAAGTTTGCCAGATAGTGACGATTTTATGTACAACAGAACACCACCATGAAGCTGAGCTTTTCGGTCGCATCGGAAACAAGAGTATCCTGACAACGCGACTTCTTGGGGTATGAGGTCGGAGTTCAGCCAAGTCTCTCCAAGTCCTAAAACATCCGGCCGCTTCGAGACAGCGAAGCGGCACAGTTCGTCACGTTTGTTCATTAGGCTGCACACGTTGGCGAATGCCACACGGAGGTCCTGGGAGGTACCGCAGTACGTGCCTGGAGGTTGAGCAACTGGTTGATACGGATTCGTACACCCTTCTTTATCACTCGAAGATTTACAATTTGCAGGTCAGTCTCACCTTCCGCTGTACGGCGTTTGAACTCAATGACCGCAGTCTTCAAACAATCCCTGTCTTGGGTTTCCAAGTCTCGGCGGATGTGAATTTGTATGCCTTTCAGCCTTAACAGACGAGACAGTATGAGCTGCGGCATATTGAGATTAGCAAAGGTGATTCTCAGAGGTCGACATGACTGGTTTAGTTTTCTGGCCAAGTCGAATTACTTGTTTAATCGTCACACTGTCTTCGCCCACATCCAAGAGTCTATCGATGAGCCCCTGAAGGAATTCAGCATCGTGATCATAACGTATCTGAGGGTTTTCATCTTTTGACTGGTACGTGGAAGACCATGAGATTATGACGCCTCAGTGAAATCAGTGATGAACCTGTGTGAGCAGAACTAGAGGCGCTTAACTGATTGGATTGTTGTTTATCAGCAGGGGACGTCTGAACTCGATTACGTGGCCCCTTGAGCTTTTGATTGGTCCATGGATCCTCGGTGTTCAGAAGTTCACAGACAGGCTCTGAGAAATTCACGGACTGATCGGTGAGGCGGCATTTCGTAGTTTCCGAGTCTGAGTCTCCCATCGGTGAGGAACATTGAACCTGGGGCTCGGCCGGGGTCGAAGACGCTGGTGGTCATGCAGACTGCGGAGTGACAAGAAATGGCGAGGTGACGGAGGTACTTTCACGAGGGAGTTTGGCCTCACATGGTGAACAGTTTGTTTCTCTCTGAAAGTGAGATTTTCCCGTAGTTGTTGCCGGTCGCTCTGTATTCTGATGTCTTGCACCGGAACTTTTATCTTATCTACCTTGCAAAAAAACCGATGTCGATGTCGAGAGATTTTCGAAACACTTCAACGGACAAGCCAATGCACGAAATATGGAACAAAACATCACAGCCAAAACACCGAAGTGCATGAGCCTTATTCCCCGCAACTTTCGAACACGAACCACAAGTGGCTTGAGACGACATCACAAGCTAGAGCAAATCTAAGATGCCGGACAGCGATGGCAGTATGGCAAATCAATGAGGTCTCCGGAATTAGCCAAATAATAGCCACCAACTTTGCACCACTTAGAAAATACGCCAAATGAAGAATATCGGGGCACAGTTTACACAGAAAAAGCACTGCTAACGCAATAATACGAAGCAGAAGTAGTATCCAGCACACGATGATCCAAAAATCCGCGACGTCCGTGGATACAGCTATGATGTGGTTTATTCACCGCTTCTTCGGTGTCCTACGGTTCGTTGAGCAGTTCATTCCTGTCTGCAAAAGAAGACCCCTTGTCAGAGGTCCTCCATGAATTGATCGAGAACTGAGGTACCTAATGAATAGAAGACGGGAATTGTGTGACTGCTTCAAGCTCACCCACTCCCCGTCTTACTATTCGGACTACAACTTGGCCTGCATATCTTCATCTTGGAAAATCGAGAGCAACGGTATAAGTACGAACTCGGTTTGGCTGTGCAACCCAGGACGACACTCAAGACACTCTTCTCTTACCTGAAGAGAAGTACCAGAGCAGGCAATGGCATTCCTGCGCTGTATTCATTGGCGCATGTCGGTTTACTTGACGATGACGTTTCGAAAACCACTCTCTTGGCCCTGCGATAATCATCATTTTATTCATTGGAGACACCGTTACCCAGTGACGCGGCGCCGATCCACTCATCACCTTTGGAGCACTTAGAGATGGGCGCTGATGTTGTTGCCAAAAGCATTCATGAATTAGATCCGATCTCCTCGCCGAGGCTTGATGGTTTGCACCCGCTGTTCCTCACGACTGTCGTCAATTACATTGCCACTCATACTTGTTGTTATTTCGCTATTCCCTTGATGTTGTACGTCTCCCGGTTGCTTGAAAAGTGTGGTTTGTTAAGACTAGACACAAAGGAGGGGGTCGTCAAAATCTTTCCAATTATCGACCCACCTGCTTAACGTCAGTATTGTATGTATGTATTTATTGGCAAGTGTATCTCATGCTGAGGTTGATCTTATGTTCATGATGCTTCTTCACCGCAATTGGGCCAAACCAACTTACACTTAATGTAGGTCTTTTTAATCTGGCTAAAAGTCCTTCCTCTTTATTTAAGTTGTTCCATTCTGTTCTTCTGCCGTAAATTCTGTAACTTTTGCGTGTTTGATTTCCCTTAATTTCTGTGTAGGTTGTCTGATATCCCCATTGTGCCTACGCTTAATGCGAATGTTGACAAGGTGCCTACCTTTCTAACACCCACCTCGATTACTGCCTCCAGTAGACTGTGAATCGTTGGGGAGAGGGGTAGACGGGGTTCACGGTCCTCGTGGCTGCGCTGGGCTCAAAGTGTGGTCCCCTCCAGTCTGGTGTGGACTATCGTTCAGCCACAGCCTTGTGTACGTCTGGTACGCATGATTCCCTACATAGATAGACAGGAATGTTGCTGCTATGCATGTTGAAGGAATGTGGGTCGACTCCGTTGTTTAAATGTGGCCCTCATCCACATGCCTCCTCGTCTTATTCCTTCAGGTTTACACCGGATATGGGATGTGTGGATGGAGCTGTGCGTGGTATAGCACAAGCCACCCCTGGTCCCTCTGTAGGCGCAGGCGTCCTGTGGCTGTCCTTTAGAGGCCACAGTGGCAGACTATGACGCAATGACTATCTCCTATCCACTGATCTCCATGGCTTTGTTGGCTCTATGTCCAGTTGCTAGACTGTTGAGATTACATACACAGTGACAGACAAATCCGGGACCGGATGCCCCCAACCATATTTCACTGGATATCCAGACCACCATGACAGGTGCTTAGTCAGCCCATGTAAATCTCGTGGCAGTGACATCGTTTTCGCCACTAGATAAGCTTTCAGTGGCCTGCTTGATCAACGCATAAGTCCAAATGTCGTGACATCATTATGGCTACTATCAAAGCCTCCAAGGTTGGCTACACACGTCTCCATGACGATTGCTTAATCAACTCTTATAGTCCCATAGCGGTGGCATCATTAGCGCCCCAAGCAAACCCTCTACTATTGGATCCACACGCCTGCATGACCGCTGCTTAGTCAGCTTATATAAGTCCCATAGCAATGTCGTCATTATCGCAAATATATTAGCATCCATTTTGGCGTCATTTCATCCGACTTGTGTTTAGTAATCCCATATGGTTCCCATAGCATTGGCATCATTAACGCCACTAACAAAGTCACTACTACTGGCCTCACATGCCTCCATGACCAATTTTTGTTCAGTCCATATAAGTCCCATAGCAGTGACATCGTTATTAAGGTCACTGACGATGACTCAACTTTTGCCTGAACAAGTATGCATGGATTGGATTCCATCAACGCCAAGGGTACAAGTTATACGCAGGGGACACGTCTTTTCCTTTTCCGCACACATTGCATGCACAGGCATGGACTACATCTCTGTGCATATCCGCCGGAAGGTTGTAACGCTAACTAATAGTGTCAATAAATACAGTATGTTTAAACCAATTTCATATATCCACGTCATCCTGAGGAGCGTGTTAAGCGCTTTTAACGGACAATGCACACGCGTGGAGGAACGTCTTTTTGCAATGTGTACCACAGACACGCATGAAGTCAATATGAATGGATGTAACCCAGGGTTGACTTACTATTATCCGACATGTCATAATCGAAACCCACAAGATTTGCCGAAGTGCCTGGTTATCGTTCATTTCCGGTCCGTCATGTGAAGTTGATATCCACCCTTCCGATGTTCCATTGTTAAGGGTCGCGCAGTCGCCATTCATCTACAGTCCTTGTTGCTCCACTAATCTCTAACTGAAAATAAAATACAGTTTCAAGCTGATTACTGTAACTAGCTGTCCACCAGTTGGTCTCTCAGTGGTAGGAAGAAATTACACCTGTTGCATATTCCCTGACCTGGAACACGCTTTTAGTTTTATTCTGTGTTCCGAAATTCGTGATCGATCATCGTCCTTGAGCGCTCTGCATTTTCTTCGCCGGTGCTAAACGATCATTGGGTAATCTGTTGCCACAATCTAGGTCTTATTACAACAGTCGTACTTTATACGATTTTATATGCTCTTTCCTTTCTAGCACACATTTAAGGAATTTTATCTTGTTTCGTTTTCATGGTTTTTCCTTGTCTTTGTTATCCATCTTCCGTCTATTTTTGCATTCGTGCTTCCCAGTCTACCCTCTCCTACAACGATTCCGTTTTTGGCTGATTTGAAACTCGGTCGATTGGCTCCTGTTATTCTGGCTGGGCGCTATGTGAAGTTAAGTCGTCGTCTCCCGCAAACTCCCTGGATAGTGGACAATGTACGCAAACTGCCATCTTCTGTTGAGGAGCTCATAGTGCTACCCATGAAAGAAGTATTTGGACAGAGTTCAATTTTCACCTTCACTGCATCGGGTCGAGAGGATGTCGACGTTCGGTAAACTTCTGCTCGCCTGATTTCCTTTAGTATTGCTGATCGTCGCATGGTTGCAGCTTTTTTCATTGTAAAACGTTTTTGGATCGAAAGTCATCTCAATTCCCTATTGCTTACAGCGTCCCTACATTTCATTTAAAAGATTTGTCATTGAGCCTAACTGCGAGGTTTCGCCACGATCTGTCTACACTTCTCCTTCTATCCTTGGGTGTTGGCTACGGACCCGGGTTTTCATTGCCATTGCTTTTGAACGCCTCCGGTATCCACATCCTAGCCGATCTACTTTATCTTTCTCCTCCCTTGACGTAGTTGCTCTCTAATGGATTGCGCAGCAGCTGTAATACTCGCCTTTTGATTAACTAGAGGAATTCACACTATTTTTTGCTTATGTTATATGGAATAGAAACCTAACATCCACATTCCATAACCCACGTTTCGTCAAAGTACTATCGCATCAGCCGAAAATTAACTATGAGAACAACTTAACAACTCTGTATCTCTTTTATCACATGAAAAACGGTACGTATATTGGTGGACCGAACTCCCCATGCTTCCTGGTCACGTTACTCGTCACATAGTTAGATCTGCATATGCTCATGCGGTTAGACTTCTGTGTATCGAATGATTTTGTGACTGATTCAGTTGATTACCTTTGGCTTTGTCCATTTTCGGAAGTATCATGATACCACTTCATACCATCCAACCTTTTTATCTGCGATAACGTATTTCCATAGTTCGCTGCTAAGATTGGTACACGATAGTATTGTTCTTTCTTCTCTTTTTTCTTCACCTCTGATGGAAATGATCGCAAATAACTGCCCTCTCAGCCTTCTCCGGAGTGGAAATTATACCCTGTGACTGACAGGCAAGCTTACATTCCGTATACCGTATTACTATCCTTTTGTCGAGTGCATCGTCCACAAGTAGTTCCGGATATATTGTCTCGGATGGACGCATGCTCTGACATTTCCTTCGTACCTTTGCTTCCAATGTGTTATTACGGGACTGGGCTGACACGCCCTAAGTTTTGTCCTTCCTCAAATAGACACAGAAATCAATCGACCAGTCCACTTGTCTAGAAGGTTATTTCACCACTGCTAGTGAAATCTGCTAATCAGCTCATTAGTCCAGAACAGAATGTTCAACACTGCGGTACAGCTGACACCGCTCGCTCCATGTACTCTGGGACTTATTCTGTGTATTCACCAGTACATGTGCTTGCAACATGTAGGAGCACAGGGTGAACATCGCTGAAGTCTTCCATGTGATATTTGGTAGGAGACACTCTGATGCCTCACCGGTGCATTTATCGATCTCAGACCGCTTATGTTAACTAAGCAATGCCTCTCGTATGTCCGTCAAGTTCCTACCTCAGCGCCCGATACTTTTCTGTCATCACTTCAATAATCAGCCGATGGTGTAGCAGGTAGGTGCGAATATAACACACTGCGACTTGCCAACTTTCTTGGCAGAGACCTCGCAGTCGGTCGAAAAATTGGCTGACGACCCTCTCCAAGCTGACGTGCTCGCTCATTCACGTTGTCTTTGCCTAATTTTGCCCAATCTTGTTAGGTCACACCAAAGGCAAATACGCACAGAAACGAAACATATTGACTTGTTCGAGAAGGTAAATGCGCAATTTCCCCAAGTAACCGTGTGCCTTGTATCAGAACAGTCTCAGTTACAAACAGACTAGTGCTTTTCTGTGTTGCAGAACATTTGGTACAATCGCTTGTTTCATACCGCTCACACGTCCCGTGATTCTTTGTGATCGATAAATTCAAACTAGCGCACAGCCGTGTTTTGAACTGTAGGCAGTGTTGTTTCATTCCCACGTCGGTCCGTTCGGTATTTCGCAAATATACTTCTCGTCCGGTGGGTTGTCTTCTAAATCGGGTGGCACAATCTAAGAAGCTGCTAATTCGAACCCCTGATGACACAACAGATTCTGGCGATGGAGGTGTTGCACAATAATGTCCATTTCATTTGAGCAGATGCAACAGCTTCTCCAACAACAGCAGCTCCAGTTCGAGAAATCCCAGAGGCAATTGTTCGAGTTATTTGCGCAGAAGCTGAACGTTCAATCTGGGCCCCAAGCTGCTGGCACACGGTCTTCAGTAGACGAGGTCACGACAGCAATCACAGAGCTCGTTTTTGCTGAATCAAACGGAGTAGCTTTTGATTCCTGGTTCAAAAAATATAAAGATATTTTCCGTGTTATGTTGGCGGCGCAAGATGATGCATGGAAAGTTCGGTTGTTGCTGCGTAAACTTGGTGCAGTTGAGCATGAACGCTATACCAATTTTGTGTTGCCAAAGAATCCAAGAGATTTCCGCTTCGATGAGACTGCAAATTCTGACGTCCATTTTCGGTGAGCAAGCATCTTTGTTCAGTATCCGTTATAATTGTTTAAAGTTGCTCAAACGTGATAACCATGATCTTATAACACATGCTGGAGTTGTGAACCGAGAGTGTGAACGTTTTAAACTCGGTACGATGACACCTGATCAGTTCAAAAGTCTCATATTTGTTTGCAGTCTTCAGTCTCATACCGATGCTGATGTGCGCACACTCATCCTACATAAGTTAGAGCAGGAACCCCATTTGACATTACAGGACATTGCTGCTGAATGCTAGAGATTGATTAACTTAAAGCATGATACCAAAGTGATTGAAAATGCTGACCCGTGGAGTGAAGCACAGATTTACCGCACGGCTGTTCGAGGTAAAAATGTGAGCCATAGGGTACCCAACCAGATACCCCCGACTTCATGCTGGAACTGTGGTGGATGGCATTTTGTGCGATTCTGTACTTACAAGAAGCATCTCTGTCAGAAGTGCAAACGTCTGGGTCACAAAGAATCACACTGTCGCAAAACGTACGTTTCCAGGCCTGTGTCTACCCCAAACTTGTACACGAACTCTAAATCCAAAAAGACGTCGTTTCTGGGAGCAAAGACAAAAGTAGTTCTCGCGACCTGTCGCACAGAATTTGCGGGCAAGCGAAAGTACCTCACCGTCAAAATTAACGATGTCCCCATATCCTTGCAACTAGATACGGCATCGGATATTACCATCATTTCTCGATCATCGTGGACGAGACTTGGCAAACCTCCATTGAGGGGCACCAATCTGACTGCCCGAAATGCATCCGGCGAACCACTGAGGTTAGATGGTGAGTTCACATGTGACATTAAATTCAAAGATCTGAGCCTCCGTGGAACCATCTACTTAGTTTCTTGTGTCAACATTAATCTTCTTGGTATTGTTTGGATTGATAGATTGAATTTGCTCAATGTACCACTGAATAATGTGTGTTCTGAAACAAACGTCATGGTGCACCACACATCCATACCACCTATTCCAAGTAAAATCATTGCTGAACAGTTTCAGGCGAAGTATGCTTGTATTTTTCGACCTGAACTTGGACATTGTAGCAAGATGTAGGCAAAGCTTACTCTGTTACCTTGTGCTACACCAGCGTTTCGACCCAGGCGCCCGGTCCCGTATGCATCACAAATACTTGTTGAACATGAGCTCAACCGATTGCAGCAAATTGGCTTAATTCAGCCAATAAATTTCCCACCATAGGCTGCCCCAATCGTTATGATTAGGAAGTCGAACGGTTCTATTCGCTTGTGTGCAGATTTTTCAACTGGTCTGAATGATGCATTGCAACCCCATCAGTATCCACTTCCACTTCCTGACGACCTGTTCGCGAAGCTGAATTGTGGTAAATATTTTGCGACCTTGGATCTGGCGGATGCTTATTTTCAACTAGAAGTTGAACCTGAAAGCTGAAAGTTTCTCACAATCAACACTCATCGTGGTCTGTACCAATACAATCGTCTGCTATTTGGTGTTAAAACCGCACCCGCAATTTTTCAGCAAGTCATGGACGCCATGTTGACTAGGGTAAGTGGAGCTGCAGTCTATCTGGATGACATCATCATAATGGGCACCACACAACGAATTATGTCAACGATTGGATGACGTGATGATGCGAATCAAAGATTATGGATTTCGTTTACGCGCAGACAAATGCAAATTCTTCTTGAAATCCATTTAATTCCTGGGATTTGTGATTAATGAACGAGGCCGACATCCCGACCCCGAGAACATTGAGGTTATAGATCGACTACCTACACCAACGGATGTCACAACTCTGAGATCATTCCTCGGAATGGTGAGTCACTATAGCAAGTTTCTGCCAGCTATGTATCGTCTACGCCAACCCTTGAATCATCTGCGGATGAAAGATGTCGAATAGAAATGGTCCAGGCAGTGTCAACAGGCATTTGAGAAATTGAAATCCCTGCTGAAATCAGACCTCCTGCTTACTCGTTACAATCCGAATCTGGATATCATGCTGGCTACGGAGGCTTCGAGCTATGGAATTGGTGCAGTCATTTCACACCACTTTCCAGACGGTTCAGAAAAGGCTGTGGCGCATGCGGCACGAGCCCTGACCACCTCTGAGAAGAACTACAGCCAAATCGAGAAAGAAGCTCTCGCTATTATTTATCTTTGATGTTCAGAAATTCCACAAAATGGTTTACGGTCGGCGTTTCACATTAGTGACGGATCACAAACCCTTACTCACTATCTTTGGATTCAAAAAGAGTATTCCGGCGTACACGGATAGTCGACTTCAGAGATGGGCCACCTTCCTCTTGGGATACGATTTCAACATGAGGTATTCGTCAACTGACTCTATTGGGCAAGCGGACGCCCTGTCCAGCTTAATCGATACCAGTCGACTTGAGCCTGAGGATGCCGTTATTGCTTCAATCACAACCGGCACGGATACCATCCACATGATACGCGATGTCGTGAATACCTTACCAGTAAACGCAAGAATGGTTCAGCAAGCCACGAACCAAGACGCATTGCTACAGGAAGTATTGACTTATACGAGACAAGACTGGCCAAAGCAATGCCTTGACAGAGCCTTTGTACAGTTTTTCACGCGACACGACGCTTTGTCCGAAGTCGATGCCTGT